CATGGATTGCATAACTTACAAACACACAACAACAAAATACATGGGAACCGACATTTCCTATCGCTGCAAAATATGCAATGTCGAAACCCATGTATATATTTTGCAAAATAGCATAGCAAGATATATGCGACCCTGTGATAGTTGTTTTGTTGTTGGAATTGCTACATATTTCTCTCATTCCTCTCATCTCGCTCACTTCATTTTTTTCTGCTGTCTCTTGTTATTGTATTTGATACATAATTTCGCTGCTTGCTACCCATGCATTCTACCACTTTGCAATGGGGTGCTCTCGTACTGTTCGAAATTAGGAATAGTATTTTTGCATTTCGTGCAATCCGTGCATCGTGCAAGACTTCGAGAATACCCCTAATATAAATATATACATGGGTTTCGACGTTGCATATTTTGCAGCGATAGGAAATGTTGTTTCCCATGAATTTTCTTGTTGTGTGTTTGCAATTTATGCAATCCGTGCAATCCGTGCTACGTGCAATGGCCTTGCAAGATTTGGAGAATACCCCTATTGTAACATTGAACAATTTTTTCAACACGGCGGCCGCTCAGCTTCTGAATTCCAAATAGTATCGGCGCAACTATCTCTATTTGTTGCAATTTCATTTGTTTACATTTATCAGCTGTTCATTTGGCAGAATATACATCAAGCCGTTTCTAAGACGTAATTGTTGGGTTCAACAGTTGTCAGCAGTTTCGTAGCTAGCTCATCTGCTCAACAGCTACGTCTTATGAACGCGACCATTGTAACATTTTCGATATCTCAATTCCATTGATAATGGGGGATGCAAGGGCGTAGCCAGGTATTTAAAAAAATTAACAAGTATATCTCGTTTGGCGCCCCTTACATCAGATCCTGGCTACGCCCATGGCGGATGGTGTTCAAGTTACCACTACAAACCATTTTTTTGGGAAAAACGAAAGCTACAAATTTTTCTTTTCACAACAAATTTTGATCCAAACAGTAATGCCGTAGTTAACTTTGCCAATTTTGAAAAATGTAGTGCTAACTTGACAGACGTTTAAAATTGGGTTTCATTGGCTTTGTTTTTTTTTTTTTTAACGAGCGGCAAAAGGCCCTTAAACTCGAATAAAATTTCCTTTGAGCTACTTAAGCGACCCTGTTGGTATCTGACAAGAAACATATGATTAGTTTAATGGGATTTATAAGAAAACCCTATGGAAATAAATAGTTTTACGAGGTATTTGCGTAATTTTAATCATCTACATCCCATCAAAAATTCACAATAGACCAGTTCTTTCACCCAACAACATTATGTTTCAGGTCCCGTATTTTTCAACCGACCTGGCTGAACTAGGATAAATAACCGAGTTTGTGTTGTTGCTTTGCATGTATTTCGTTACTTTACCGAGTGCAATTTTGTAGCTCGGTTGCAAAATAATACACCCATTATGTAGTGAGTGCTCTTCTAGTTTTGCAATATAAAATTATGAATAAATAGCAACGTATATATGAACACACATACATATGTGTGTACGTCTATACATACAAATAGTATATTTACGGTGACCATCCGCCCTCTTTTTTCACCAGTTGTCCTGCTAAATTATTTATTTCATACGGGACGTCAAATGTTCTGTATTTCTTTTAATGCCCCTTATTTGTCCCGTATTCGGTATTTTGGCGCCTTACCAGCTCTTGAAAATGTCATGCCTATGAACCAGTTTTTATTTTTAAATCTGGACGTTTGTGATTCGAATCGAGGAGCACATATGTATGTATGTAGTTGTTTCTGAAATTATAATTTTGCGTAGAAAAACTGCGTATGAATAGAAATTAGACGTTAATGTTGTTCAAATTACTAAAAAAATTTCACTACACTGAGAGAAAAATCAACAAAAAATTGGTTAATATTACCAAATTCAAACTTTAAAAGGAATCAACGCGATTTTTGGTTTATATTAACAATGCCTTGGTTGATGATTTCAACAATGATTTGGTAATATTAACCACAATTTTTTTTTTACAATAACCAAACTATTGGTTGGCAATTTTTCGTTTGAATAAGTTCATGTTCTGCACTTCACAGATGCGTTTTCATTTTTCAGATATGTACATGGGTTAAAGAAATTTGATAATTTAAATACCCTCAGAAACTCGATACTGGGATGCGACCTAAGAAATTTCTTAAAAGCTCGAAATTGCATGCAACTCTCCAATATGCCGAGGCTTGGAGACAATTTTAAAATTTTGTGAAGAGAGAATATGTTCATTAGGAGAAACTACGGCAAAAAAACGGCATTGTAAGAGGGATTGTATCTGCGACATTAGAAACTCCAAATAAGCAGGCTACTATGAAAATGTTGTAAAAGTAAAGAAGTTCTCAAAGATGGAAGGGAAGTGGAACCCTTTGCAATTCAATCCGAGTAGTTGCATACTTTCCCTGCCTAGGAATGTTTGTAACAAATTTTATGGGGTAAAAATCCTGTGCACAAAGTACAAAGTTATGGAAAAATATTCAACAAATGTGTGATGTTGCAACTGAATGTTTATGCGCTGCGTTCACAAAAGATCGAAAAATATATGCTAACTATGCTGTTTCAGTGCTAATAAATCTAGGATCATTGAAAAAGTTTTTCAAATACTCCAGTTTTCGTGGAAAAAATTGGCAAAATTATTGTTTGTCCCGTATTCGGCTGCCATAAATATGGTCACCTTAAGTATACCTTTAATTGATTGCTCATATGGGAATTTACCCAATTATTCATTATTCATGAGTCAGTTAATAAGTCTAGCATTTCAAATCTCCACCTGACCGCAACGAGAGCGCCATTATGTTTTACAATTTTCTTACTTACCCGGCTGGAACTGAAAATGGGATCTATACAAGCGCATTTTTCCTAGTATCTTCATTAGGGTGGTCAAAAATAAGAAATGTCAGCATTTTAATGCTCTCACCCCATAGGATTGCTCTATACCGAAAAAAATGTACCCCATTTTTTTTTTTGAAATCTATGCATAGTATAGAGGAAAGTCGGGATAAGCTCGAAAACTACTGAACGGATGTTGACGAGATTTTTTCTAATATACTCTGCATGGATAGGAGAGTGACCTTTTTTATTTAGATATTTTCAATAGGCTTGCCATCTGTTAATAAAATAAACGAAGACTTATGGTCTGATTATGCATACTTCGCACATATATGTATATATATTTTGGAAACCTAGAGAGCATTAGACAAAAAGATAACTCCCACTCTGTCTAATCACTAAACAGCGATTTCGAGCTACTACTTCCCCGTACATTGTTCATTCGCCGAATTGTACTATTGCATAGTTTTGAAAATTTAATCACTCTTATATTATCCTCGGAAGGCTTCTCTAGGAAAGCATCACCCGTGGCTTATCTATGGCTCATTAATACCCTTAAGGTACGAATTTAAAAGACTTCGAAATTATAAATTATGTATAAACATATTCATCAGCATTATTATAATATCGATAATAATCCTGTTTGAGAAAATCATGTTTTTTTAGTGAATCCGGAGCTGTAACTTCGAGAACCGTAAATATGTAGAAACGTGGAGTAAGTTTTGTTGTTGTGCGTTATATGCAAGAAAATGCGCAACTCCTCGACAAAAAAGAAAATCAAACAAATCATCGGTCCTTTTTAGCGACTTAAAACTTACATTTTATTGTACTAAAATTGAATTGGCTATAAAACTGCAAACCCAAAATCTTTCTAATGCTGCACCTCATTTTGAATTTTGCTGCTATTATTTTGACCGCAACTGCTATATGTATTCGCATTTAGAGTAGAACTCCAACTCCAAGCTTCTAAGAGTTATGGCTTTTAGAGTAGAACTCCACAGTAAGCTGTTCAGGCATTTATCGTTTTTCAGGTTGTCAGCGGTCTATTTTTTATAAGTTTTAAAGTTTTATTATTGCTTATCGGCTTAGGCGCCGAAAGCCACAACACCCGAAAAGCTTTTTGTGGAGTTCTACATATTATATCTGTGGCAACAAGCAATAACCGCCTAAGTGGACTGAAGAAAGAATGGAGTTATATGTATAGCATAGCCAGCTAGGCGAAAATATTTTGGTTTCCCCATAAGGCTAACATTACAATCCAAATGTTTAAAAAGTTTTTTCTCGAATTCAGGTTTTTCCACTTAGGCGGTTATTGCTTATGACCACAGATATGACATATAAAACATATAGTTGTATAAAGTGCTGAAAGTCTGAAAGCGGTGAGCGCCTGGAAAAGCCTTTTATGGAGTTTTATTCTTAGGAAGTTCGCAGTATTTTTTAAAATAATGAAAATACGAGTAGACTTTAAGGAATAATTGAAATATCTTTATTTTAATCACATTTTTTTCTGCCTCTTTTTTCAGGAAAAATATAACTTTTAATCAAATAAAAGTGTTTAAACCCCGCAGTGAAGTGATAAAAGTAAGCAATAACAATTACAACAGCGCTGTGTCCAACAATCAGAGAGAATACAGTTATAAAATTGTGTTGTGAAATTAGAAAAGAGGCAAACAATTGTGTGGTGTCAATTTTAAAACAACAAATAGATTAGGCAACTCCATGACACACGATCTAAACAGCTATAAGAGTAACAATTAAGTAAAACAAAGTTTTGCACGAACTACATTAGCCTGAAAAAAAAAATAACCAACAGTAAAAAGTTTACGATCACACTAATAAATTAATAAATAAAAATATTCAAACAAAATAAATAAATAACACAAACACTTAAAGGCCTCACTTTTGGAGAACCCATCCTACCTCAACTGTTGGCGTATGTATGCGCGGAGAGTTTGTAGAGAAGATCGAGTGAGCGGTAAATAAGTGTAGAAAAAACCGGAAAGTCGACAAGGGCAGACGGCGAAGGTGAAAGCGGAAAGTGAAATTGAAAAAGCGCAGCAAAGGCAAAGTAGAAAAGAGTAGCAAATATACAGAAATAATAACAACACGGCAGCAATCGTGTGGAGAGCGACAAATTGCGCAGTCGGTACTAACGTCATAACGTTGGGCGAAACAAAAAAAAAACTAAAAAATAAATAATAAAAGATCGCCAGCGACAAAAGCGCCTAACTACTGGAAACTGTTCCGTCAGTAATAAAACAACAACAGTAGTTTGTCAAGCAGCACGAACGATAGGTGAGTGTGCAGTGAATTGTGAAAAAGCCAACGACAGCACAGTTAAACGCCGGCAGCGCCGAAAGTTTTGTGAGTTTTTTTTTTTTTTTTTTTGGTATTGCACAGTCGTATAATAGACGAAGTGAGAGTTTAACGCGTGTGTACGAGGTGCTGAAAAACAAACGGAAACACAAAGATAGCATAGATTTCGAAATTCGATTTCACAAATTCAAAGTTCCATTTCGCAAATTCGAGATTCATTAAAACACTAGACACAGTGCAAAGTGTGACACGTGGTGTCTAAAAAAAACTAACCAATATTAAGATTTGGAAATTTCGAAAATAACTTCGAATTTTCGAAATTCAAAAACGTACGATTTTATAAAGTTTGATCAATAAATTTGAGTTTGAAACAACCAAAAGAGCAACAACAACTCAGCCGCAACAACCCGGTAGACAACTATAAAGAGCCAGTTATTAGTGAGTGTGCGCGTGTGTGTGGTATTGTGCTTGAGTGAGTTTCAACGACGACAACAACAACAACAACAACAACAACAAGAACCGCTGCAAAGCGCATCATGGTGAATACCAACAACACAGCAACGTTGGCTACAACAAACTCAACGGCATCGACAACAGCAACAACAGCAACAACAGCTGCAGCAATAACAACAAATAGCACAACATTGACCAAGGCAAAACAGCAACGACAAACGGTGGGTGTTGTTGTAGCAGCCGGCACCACAACATGGGGTTCTATTAGCATCGCACAGCAAAAGCAACAACAGGAGCAACTGTTGCAAGAGCAAAAACAAAAAGAACAACAGAAAGAGCAGCAACAACAGCAAACTGAAGAACAGCCGGAAAATATTGATGCTAAGAAAAAGAACAAACACAAGAATCCGAAAAAGAATGGCGTTGACAACAAACAGAACAATGACAATAAAGCCAATACCAGCGGTGTTGGTAACAAAAAACAAAATAACAACAAAAACAAAGTGCCGGCTAGTAGTGTATTAAAAACAAAAACAACCGCTGCGCAGTGCTTAAGTAGCGACACAGGCGATGATAAGGAAAACGCCTGCGTTACATCCACGCAGGAGGAGAACTGCGAAGACACGAAAACGGCAACCAACGCCAATAAAAATGGTAAAATAGCTAGCGACAAACAACAGCAGCAAACGATTGGTCGCAATAAGAAAAACAACAATAATAGTAATAGTAACAATAACAACGCCAAAGGTCAAAACAGCAAAACATTCACGAATAGCAACAATAAGAGCCAGTGGAAGCGTATTGAAAAGCGTAACAGCGTCATATTTAGCACCAATCACCATTACAGCAACTACAACAATAGCAACAGCAACAGCAACAGCAGCTATAGTAACAACAGCAAGCATAACAAATATCGCTTGTCAAATTCCAATACGCCCAGCATCCTCACCGATGACGATGATGATTATCGCGATGAAATCGCCGCCGACATGACAGACACCGATTCGGTACGATCTCATGATTGGCAAGGGAAGAACTGCCGTCGTCGACAACAACAACAACAACAGCAAGCGAACGGAAAAAAACTTACCGCCGGTGAATTATTAGCTGCCGCCCTAATGGTGCCCTGTAAGAAGTGTAACAAAGTGAAAGCACCAAATATGGCAATGCTCGGTAGTGCGCATCAATATCGCAAATCTAAATCGTATATGGGCGGCGGCGGTGAAAGTGGCAATGGGACGGGTAGTGCTTCGGCGGCCGAGAGTTGGCTAAATTTGAGTGGTAGTGGAGGTAAAAATAGCGCCAATCATCGCTATCAGCGCTCGCACAGCGATCGTCGCACTTCATTCGATCGCATTTTTGCCGAACGTAATAAGGATTTTGTGCCAATTGTACAGCCCGCACGTCCTGTACTCGCATCGTCGAACATCGAACGCGTTCTTACCGATACCGAGAAGATGGTTATCATCGAACGTTTGGGAAAGGGACGCGTGACATATCCCATAATGCAGGTGAGTGAATGAAAATGAGAGCTTAAAACAAAAAGTATTAGCTGAAGATTCGTTTAGGTCCATAGTACCTAAGTAAGTAGGAATTTAATAAATTTGTTAGTTCAGCAAAAAGGTTGGGACTTCGAAACATTTTCTAGTTTATTAATGTAAACATTTTCTGGCATTCCAAATCATGATCAGCTATCTTAACGTATCTCGTAAGAATGCTTTCGGAGTTTTTTCGAAGGCTTTCGATACGCAGGTGGTAACTGATGGTTATTTTTAAACTAAGTACTTTTATGTTAATTAACTTTTTTCATCATCGCTGCATCATGAACAACTGGTATAACGAAATGGAAATAAATTCCAGCAACAACGAAAGAATATATTTTGTCAGGAAAATACCACCTTAATACCGAATTGAAATATCTCAGTAGTTTGATATTTCCAGGAAAGCCTTACAATGGCTGTTCGACTCGTTCTTTTCTATTGTGTTCAAAGTCTGGCATGGAGCTTAGTCAGTTCCGATTTTTTGGTTTCAAAAAATAGGCTGCGGTTGCCTTACAGTTAACGAGTTCAAATATGTATACGAAGATTTCTGGATTGGACATGTCGTGCGCTTGGATGATGATGCTTCGCTGAATAGGTCCTTCAACTCGTTGCGCTGTCCGTACCTGAGATGAACCAGTGGCATAATCTTGCTTAGGAGACAAGTAATTGGCACAGTTTTTTAGTATCTGCGCAAACCGACAACCGGTTGTAGTATCAAATCAGACAAAAACGAAGTTTGCCTTTTGACATTGAGACATACTTAGACAAACTCCTCGAAGTACTGCCTACAAATGAAGAACCGATATTCGTCTGAACAATGTAGGATAGTGGAACAAAAAGTACAGTATTATTTCCTCTTCTTTAAGCATCGCCCACACTCCACTCCCGGAGTAATTTTTGTCATGGTGGTAAATAAATCCCAGCTTATTGCACAACAGCCGGTGGCTGCTAGAGCATGACTCCTCCAATGGAGTCCCCCAATTCATAAATGGTAAAAGGGTTATATCATGCCCTACCGCTTCACCGACCTGCCCGCATATCCCTCTCTCTATCTCTCTCTCGCTCATATCAGGCAAATGAAGTGCGTGGTTGATTTTATGTGCATCTATAAACCATATGAGCCCATCGAGCTAGATACATAAACACTCGCAACAAAGTTAATCCTTACCTCCTCTGCTTCTCTAACCCGATACAGAAATTCTAAACTCGTGTCTTGCTCTACCTCAGCTAAACACTCGCCTTGACTTCAGCTGCTACAGAAGTTGTACAATATCCTGTAATCTCAGAGGTTACAAGTTGGTGTTGTGTTCGTTTAGTCTTATTAGACTGCAAAGTTGTCGACAGCTACCTCATAATTTTACAGGTGACCTTTTCACTCCATTTCAAATTCGCTATCTTCAAACATTTTTCGGCAATCAGGAGCTCAAGTGTTTGTAAACAAACCTTTACTTATGCCACTTTCGGAAGGCTTGTGTCGAGTCGCGCCGCATGTTCGGCTTTATAATTCCCCTCTACATATGCCACAATGACCTGGAAAGCACCTTTTAAACAAGCGAAATTACTCAGCCATATCGCTTAGAGATTAGCTTGCGGACTATGTCCGCCTTTTGAATGTTGTTCCCATTGTCAGGGGAGTTCCAGCATGCTGTTATAATACAAAAGAGGATTGGCTTAACTAAAGTAAACTGAAGGCTACTAGAATTGTCAAATATGGTTTGGGATTCACAGAGAAGTTGAATAGGCGCACCATGAGAAGCCACTTTCCGTGACGTTGAAGCCGGTGAAAATTAACCGCAGGCGGGTCAAAGGCCTTAAGGGGTAAATAGTAGTAGACAAGTTTGCAAACCAAGCCTAACCTTTCATTTCAAAATAAATAGGTTTTGGCGGCCGCTCTACACACATTTCGAAATAGAAATTCTCCCTTTACACTTGTTCCTACATTACCTACTTTTAAGTTTTGGCCTTGTTTCCTCAGACTTCCTAGTATAAACAATTATATTTTTATAAAAAAAAGCAAACATGATCAAGTTCATATGTCTACTTTTTCTTAAGTTCATGAACTTTTAAAAGGTCCACAAATATGTACTGTACTTGGATTTACTTGTATCGATTCATCCCTCAGTGCGAATAATGCTCTTCGTGGAATTCGCAATGAATTTAATGTTGGAGTGTGCTTCTGAGTTTGAACCAATGCACACTGGCCGGAATTTATATTTATTTGGCATAAATTCGAAAAAGAAAGTTATCATTTTCAAACTTGTTACATACATATATTCTTCATGCTATTAGCAAGTTATGGTAAAACTTTTCGGCCGATCAGATAACCCTTCGCCTCTCCCCATATATAACGTTGCCTTTGAACGATAACCTTATTCAAAACTTTTTAAAACTTGCTTAAACCCCTCTGGTATAGCACCCATATTGTGATGCATATTTAAATCGTCACAACTCAAGTTGAATTTGCTTGTTTAAACATGTGGCAACCCTACTAAATATAATTCCTTCAAACATCTCAAAAATTGCCAAAATATTCAAACTGAAGACTTCTTAGCACTCTTTCGTTTCGAATTTTCAAACAGGGGGCAACCCTTACGAAAAAATAAAAACGTATTGCAAATCTCTAAGCCAAGCTCTTGGCACCTTATTTTTTTACCTTCCTTTTATTAGCTCGGGATGTAACTAAGTATGTAATATTGATGCGCCTAAAAGATGCAGCGACTTCTATTCTCAAGTTACATACCTGATGACAGTACGAATGGCAATTATAATAGGGAGGTTTTAGTTTTTTAAACTATAATTTTATTTTTTAAGTGAATGAACTGTGCAGATCTTCAAGATTTTTAATTTTGAATGCATTTCGAAGAATCTTAGTTTAATTTAAATCCTACTAATATATATAAGGATATTGAAGGATAAAAATTGCAAAGCACATTTTTGTTTAATTAATTTTATCGAGGTCCTTGAGAGAAATCCTGTCGTCATATTAAAAATTGAAAGATTCAGAAATATATGGAAGAGATATAAAATTTTTCGCATTTCCAAAGTTTTCATGCATGGCTAATTCAAGTTATTAACTAAAACTTCATATATATGTTATTTAGGCTAAAAAGCACAAATATAGAGGGCATGTATGTATATCAAAATTTGCCAAAAAAATTTTTTCCATATATTCTTGGGACAGTCTAATGTATATACGTACATTAGACCATGCCAAAAAAAAAGTTCGCCGTACACTCCGGAGTCGAAAGTATTTTAGCAAAGTAATTTTGAAAAAAAAAGTTTTTTTTTGGCCGAACTTAGGGGTTGTCGTCTGCCATATCTTCTGCATTTACAGTCGGATTATAAAAAGTGATATATCGATTTTCTTGTCTCAATCTTAGTTCCTACCACCCTTATTTCAGTAAATTAAAGCTTTCTAAAAATCATGGAACTTTGCAAAGGAAGTATTTTGACACGGCGCACAGTGCCGCGACTCCATACAAATGATGGACAAAAATAGAAGGAGTGGTCAGAATTGGCTGAAGCTTCACACCTAGAAGTATTATGCCCCTCTAATTTCAAAAATGAAATCGGTTTTTCTGTACCGGTTACTCATTTCGAGAAAACCGAGTTTTTCTTGCATTTTTATATGAAAATAGTCATTGTGGACATGTGTTGATATAAGTGGAAGGAGGCATCAGAATGGGCTGAAACTTTACACCTGAAAGGACTATATCACGGCAATTTAAGAAAAAAAAACGTTTTTCAGCATCTGTTACCATTTAATTAAAAAATTTTTTTTTTTACAATTTTATAAAAAGGTAAAATAACTCATAATCATCGTAGACATATGTTTATAAAAACCGAAATAGTATTCAGAACTTGTTGAAACTTTACACCTAAAAGGACTAACCCATGCTTATTTCAAAAATGAAATCGATTTTTCGGTACCGGGTACCCATTAAAAAAAAAAGATTTTTTTTTACATTACTATATGAAAGACAAATAAGGCATAATCATTGCTGATTGTGGTGTTTACGAAAACAGGAAGGAGTCGTCAGAATTTATTGAAACTTTACATCTGAAGTGTCTATATTACTCTAATTTTAAGAAAGTAATCGGTTTTTTTGTAACGGGTACCCATTAAAAAACACCGAGTTTTTGCACATGATTATTTAAAAATGAAATATGGCATATCATTGTTGCTAAGTGTTCAGAAAAATAGTCTTAATAGTCAAAATTCGTCTAAACTTTACTTCCTAAATGAATACATTATGGTAATTTGAAAAATTCAGTCGGTTTTCCTTACATGTTAACCTTTAGAAAAAAAAATTCTTTTGATTTCATTTAAAATAAAGCATAATCACTGTTAAGTAAGTAAGTAATAATAGCTGTTATATGGTAATAACATATAATATGTTAATAAAAACCGAACTAGTTGTTATAATCACTCAGTTTCAGAGTCCTCAGAAGAGGAGGAAGTGATCACTGATTCAAATGATTCCATGCTTTTGTCTGCTTCGTCACTTTTAACAATGTATTTATTAAAGCTGAGATCAGAACCCTTTAAATATTTGTTTCTCTGTTTTATATTTCTTTTAAATGCAACTAATGGATATGACGATAATATCAAACGAGTCATTAAATCCGTATTGCTTTGTACTCTTCCAGTTTTTCGAGAACGATTAAGCCGATATTTTCTTATGTTTTTGTGTGAACATTCTAAGGCTTCTTCTGATAATGAACCTGATAAAATAGGTGGAAATACAGAATAAGAGAATAAATGAAAACATAGCTTTAAAATCATTACCTATTGGTAAATCAAAGTATTTAATTACATCACGTCCACGTACTAAAACTTTATGCACTGAACTTGGCATGTTATACCAACCATAATTTCTAAGGTATAACTCTCTTGTTTCGTTCAACAAAACACTAAACTCTTGGGTTTTTATTTGTTTTCCACAAGAGAGGACTCTTAGCACCAGAGAAAAATTCATGAA